TATTATTAATGCATCAGTAATAACTATAGATATGATAAAAAACACAGTGGCAGTCATGCTGCATGATTAGTTTAGGCTACTTTTAGTACATTATGATGCATAATTTAATTAAGCTAATATTTAAAATACTTGAAATGCAATGAAGTATTTGAATTGTAAAATAAAGGATCTAAATATTTCTTTCACTAAATGGAGTTAGTGCATGGTGCACTGGCAGCCAGATGTTGTATACTGAAACATGGTTATACTTTACTGGTGTGTGTTTGTGTGGAGGAGGCTGGAAATAAATCTAACTAACATGATCAGACTGTGTGAATTCAGACAGTAGGGTGGATGCAGGCCTGAGGATGGACTCCACCCTCTGTCCTGTTTACATGGGCACATGTGCTGCTTCACTGACAGCCCCCTCGCACATCCCAATAATAAAAGCCCTCCCACAAGCGAGCCATTTTCTCCTCCCAGCGCGGTTACAGCCAGTGTTTGAGTGTGATGGGGTCTCCTCTCCTCCACCCTGACTAACTCCTCCCGCCTCCTCGCTGTTTCCCAACCCACAGCGCGCCACCAGGGAGTGGCCAGTGGCCACGGAGGCAAGACTTAAATACCCAGTGCGCCTTCCTCCTTCCCCACCTCCGTGTTCAAGGCGGGCATAACAAGAGATGAGCCTGTAGAACTTCACACTGTTGAATGATAAGACAATATCAGAGCTCGATTAAGGGGAAATATCGATGTTTACGTGGACATATTTACTCATGGCGCCTTTTAAGCGGAAAACAGATAACCCGACGTCAATCATACTCAGCGGAACAACCTAACTTGCTAGGTCCCGCCCTATTCTCCTCATTTGGCCCAATCAAATTGGCTGGTTGATGCTCGTCGGCAGAGATGACCTTTCCCATTGGACGAAAGCAGCAATCCTTCGCAAGAAGCTCGCAGAGGGGTGTGCTTCTTTTATGTACCGGAATAGGGCGATTAGTCCAGTCACCAGGTGCCAACATTTAAAACACGACAGAACCATTCATACCCCTACTGTATTTATAACGAGTTGGACGTGTGGGTTTGTTTAGG